GGAGCCTTTGTAATTCTGCTTCTTACCCTATGCCTCCACGTGGGTTACTGTCAGGAAGTTATGGAGGAAGGGCAAATGGTTCTAGAGGATCTCCAGGACAGCCTATCAGAAACCGAATGAAGTGAAAGGATGGGAGCACGTGCAAAAGAAAATAGGGCCCAAAGTGAAAATGGACCTCCTGGTAAGCCAGAGGAAGGCAGGGGAGAGAGCACTGTCGAAAAGGACGGAGCAAGAAACCAAGTAACAGGTTTTAGACAGGGAAGAAATTTACCAAAGGGGTATTTATACCCCACAAGGGAACTTGCTGCTCTGCAGTTAGAAGAGAGCAGTTTAAGCCCAGAAGAAGAGATAGAATTAGAAGAACAAGCAGCAAATTATGAAGAAAATAGATACAGGCCACTGGAATATAAGAACCCAGTGCCCTATGTTCTGGGGCAAGGGGCTGCTACTGCCCCCCCACCTTATTCAATGCAGCCATCTTGCTCACTCCTTTCAAAAACTGTGAGGAGAAAGTTAGGCATGGCCTTCCCAGTCTTTGAAGCACCCATAGAAGGGCAAGAAGGCATGGGACGGATCTATGCACCTATAGACTATAATCAAATAAAAGAATTGGCTGAAGCAGTAAGAAAATATGGAGTGAATGCAAATTTTACTTTAGCACAGCTAGACAGACTGGCAAGAGATTCTATGATGCCTACTGACTGGCAAACTATTGCAAAGGCTATGCTTAATAGCATGGGCCAATTTTTAGAGTGGAAGGCGCTATGGTATGAGGCTGCACAAGAGCAAGCCCGAATCAATGCAGCCTCCTTAACCCCTGAACAACAACAATGGACATATGAAATGTTAACAGGACAAGGAAGATATGCAAATGAACAAAATACTTATGCCTGGGGAGCCTATCAACAGGTTTCCATGACGGCAATTAGAGCATGGAAAGCTTTAACTAAAAAGGGAGAAGGAGCAACCCAGCTAACCAAAATTATACAGGGCCCACAGGAATCATTTTCAGATTTTGTGGCCAGGATGACCGAGGCAGCAAACAGAATTTTTGGAGATTCAGAATCTGCAATGCCTCTTATTGAGCAATTAGTTTTTGAACAAGCAACACAAGAATGCCGTAATGCCATTGCCCCTCGAAAGGGTAAAGGATTACAAGATTGGTTAAGGGTATGTAGAGAGTTAGGGGGCCCATTATCTAATGCAGGGCTGGCGGCAGCTATAATGCATATTGCCAAAAATGCTCCTCAAGGAAGAGGCAAAGGACCTTGTTATCAATGTGGCAAAATGGGACATTTTAAAAAAGACTGCAAGAGTGCAGCCCCAAATAATCTTACAACTGAAATCTGCGCTAGATGCAGAAAAGGGGCACACAAGGCCGAGAACTGTAGATCTATAAGAGACATTGAGGGAAAACTTTTGGTTCCCCCAAGGCCTTGGAAGAGCCCAAAGCAAGAATTTAAGCCAAAAAACGAGATGAGGGGCCCTCGGTTCCAGGGCCCAGACAAATATGGAAACCCCGCCCAAACATGCCCATGGTCCAAAGCCCAATTGCAGCAGCGATTCGGGGACCGATTTCAGGAAATCATCTCCCCCACGGAGGAATGGGAAGATTGGACGTGTACGCCACCTCCAATGTCCTATTAGATTCAGATCAAGGACCCCAACCTGTTCCCGTGCAGGTCTTAATGGCCTCTACAAAAAGTTTACAAGGTCTTCTAATAGGATGTAGTAAGTTTTCAGGACAAGAGATAATTGTATTTCCAGGAGTTGTCCAGGGCCCAAAATTTCAGGTTCTATGCTCCAGTCCACAATGGCCTATAGAAATAAAGGAGGGAGATACCATTGCTCAATTAATACCCATATCTAATGAAGAAAGAAATGAGGCCAATCTAATAATGGATTTGGGCTCCAGGCCAAAGATGACTTTGAGTATACAGGGAAAGAAATTTGAAGGCATACTAGATACAGGGGCAGACCAGAGTCTAATCTCCTCTCATTGGTGGCCTAAAACTTGGCCACTTAAGCAGTCCAGCCAAACCCTTCGAGGATTGGGATATAGCTCTAATCCCGCAATAAGCGCACGGCCTCTTTTATGGAGAACGGACCAAGGTAAGGAAGGAATGTTTACACCATATGTATTGCCTTTGCCAACAAATTTATGGGGACGTGATGTTTTAGCTGATATGGGAATGAAATTATCAGATGAAAGTCAGGCAGAAACTAAGACCACATGCAAAATATCTACTGCCGAACAGATAATGAATACAATGGGATACCAAAAAGGAAAAGGATTAGGTAAAAACCTCCAAGGCAGCATAGAACCTTTAGAAGCAATCACCAATAGGGAGAAAAGGGGATTGGGTTTTTTCTAGGAGCCATTGAGGGTCCCAAACCCATACCTTGGAAATCGGAGGAGCCAGTATGGGTGCCTCAATGGCCATTATCCTCCGAAAAGCTAGAGGCTCTGAGATTATTAATACAGGAACAAATAATGCAAGGTCATCTTGAATCATCTACGTCACCTTGGAATACTCCTATTTTTGTAATAAAAAAGAAAACAGGGAAATGGAGATTCCTACAAGATTTAAGGGCAGTTAATGCACAAATGTTAATGTTAGGAACTGTGCAACATGGCCTTCCCATTATGTCAGCCGTACCAAAAGATTGGCCACTTTATATAATAGATATTCAAGATTGCTTCTTTTCCATTCCCCTGCATACTCAAGATAGAAAAAGATTTGCCTTTTCAATCCCAGCTGTAAATCATGCAGATCCTGATGAAAGATATCAATGGAAGGTGTTGCCACAAGGCATGATGAATAGTCCTACAATCTGTCAGTTATATGTACAAAGTATACTTAGTCCCATCAGAAGAGCCTTTCCTAATGCGGTCATACTTCATTATATGGATGATATCTTACTTAGCAGCCAAAATAGAAAAGAGCTTGAGGTTATGCTTAAGAATACTCTGCATAGACTAAAGAATAAAGGGCTATGTGTTGCTCCAGAAAAAATACAGGGTTCCCATTATGGTTCCTTTTTAGGGTCAAGAATATACCCAAAATATATACAACCCCAGAAGCTAGAAATAAAAAGACAGAACCTGCTCACACTCAATGATTTTCAAAAACTTATGGGAGATATTAATTGGTTGAGACCATTTCTTAAAATACCTACTTCAGAGCTCAAGCCTCTGTTTGATATCTTAGAGGGAGATCCTAAGATAACTTCTCCCAGGAAATTAACTCCAGAAGCGACAACAGCCCTAAAAATCGTAGAAACTGCGCTAGAAACGGCACAATTAAAGCGAATTAAAGCAGCAGAGCCTTTCTATCTAATAATCATACAAACAGAAAAACTCCCTACAGCAACATTGTGGCAAGGGGGACCCTTATTGTGGATACACCTTCAGGCCACACCTCAAAAAATCTTAGACTGGTACCCTGCAGCTATGGCCCGAATTATATTTAAAGGACTAAAGACTTCCATAGAATATTTTGGGGTATATCCCTCTATCATTTATCTTCCCTATACCAAACAACAATTAGAAGTTCTGGCTACAGCTTCAGATGATTGGGCTATATTGCATACTATCTACCCAGGTACCTTTGATAACCATTATCCAAAACACCCACTACTTCAGTTTATAAAAAGACACCCCATAATATTTCCAAAGATAACCTCCTCCATACCCATAGAAAGGGCTATAACCATCTACACAGATGGATCCAATAATGGACAAGGAGCCTATGTAATAGACTCCAAAATATATGTCAAATCATTTAAAGAAACTTCCCCCCAGAAGATAGAATGCCTCATAGTTCTAGAAGTTCTTGAAAAATACTTGGGCCCCCTTAATATCATTTCAGATTCCATTTATGTTGTAAATGCAGTCCAACTGTTGGAAACGGTGGGGATCATAAAACAAAGTTCGGGTATGGCGACTATATTTGAGGCCTTGCAGCGGGCGATGTGGTCCAGGGAATCGCCATTTTGTATTGCCCATATTGGGGCTCGTGCGGGCCTCCCTGGGCCTGTGGCCCTTGGCGGCGATTTGGCAGACGGGGCCACGGGGATCATGGCCTTGATGGCTCTTGGTTCGGTGCAATTGGCTTCTCGATTTCATTCGGGGTTCCGTGTGGCCTCTGAGACCTTGAGAAGACGTTTTCGGGTCTCTGGAAAACAAGCAAGAGAAATAGTTACCAATTGTAAAAATTGCTGTGTATTTCTGCCTACACCTCATGTTGGCATTAATCCCAGAGGCCTTGTTCCCTTGCAAATATGGCAAATGGATGTTACCCATATACCCTCCTTTGGAAAATTGCAGTTTGTCCATGTCTCAATAGACACCTGCTCGGGGATGGTAACTGCAACCCCACTTGCAGGGGAGAGGACCTCTCATGTTGTTCAACATTGTTTAGAGGCGTGGAGTTCATGGGGTAAGCCAAAAATTTTAAAGACAGATAGTGGTCCTGCTTATACTTCCAGGAAGTTTCAGGACTTCTGTTCACAGATGGATATAACTCATGTAACGGGACTCCCCTGCAGTCCACAAGGACAAGGGATTGTTGAACGCGCTCATCGCACCCTAAAAAACTATATACAAAAGCAAAAAGGGGGTATGGAAGCAGTGCTTACTTCTACTCCCCGAGTAATAATATCTATGGCCCTATTTACTCTAAATTTTTTAAATTTAGATGATAATGGACAAACAGCTGCTGATAGACATTACAAAAAATATACCCAAAGAAATCAAATAGCAAAATGGAAGGATGTTCTTACTAATAAATGGAAAGGACCGGATCCTATTTTAATAGGATCCAGGGGAGCTATATGTGTTTTTCCGCAGGATGCAGAAAATCCAGTGTGGGTGGCCAGCCAGGCTTGTCCGGATGTTGGATGGTGATGTGGGCAGTGTTCCTGGTGATGACCACCTCGACGGGGATGGGGGAGCAGCGGATGCAGTACCGTTGGGGGGTAATGTCCACCTTCCCCCTTCCGATGCCGGTAACGTATGATGCACAGGTTTTTCCCAGGTTATTCACTACCAATAGATGTTAAATTGTTCTTTAGATGAGTGTGCTTATATCCCCTGCTGGAATGCTTCTATTTACCCTGTTGCCATTGCTACCTGCATGCCTCGATATATACCTGTGCCTGTAGCCACGCCAGGTACCCTATCTTTATTTAGGCATAAAAGAGATTTTGGCATATCTGCCACCATTGCAGTCATCATTGCAGGAGCAGCAATTACAGGGGCTACCATGGCATCCGCCATGACATTATCCACATCGGTGCAGACAGCCACTTCAGTGTCTGCTGCTCTAGATTATCAAGCCTCTGCTAATA